ACTGACTTGACAAAGGCCTTCCAAGAAGGTCGAAACGTTGTCACCGAAATTTTGTGTTTTGATACTCACGCTNTAAAACAAACCTGATTCTATTGTTACCATGAGCACAACGCCCAAATTTTTCGAAATGATCCGGAACACCTATGGATTATTAACTGTGCAACATAAGGTTCTTTTACCTAATGGCTCGTTTATCCTTCCACTGTGCGTTTTTTCTGTATGCCATGAATTTTGGCACATGGTACAACGTACAAGGCAAATGATGACAATTTCGGCAATCACTTTCAGAAAGCTTGCACGAATTTCCTAAATGGTCTCTGATGGGAGAACTGGAAATATTTACTTGAAAATGTGGAAATGTACCTAATAGGCTGATCATAAAACCATTGTGCCGAAACTCGATGGAAGATTCAAGCACCTTAGATATAAAAGTGAATTCGATAGTAAATCAACGATGCGCATAAATGTGTCGTCTTAGTGGTTGACTAATGCTAGTGTGTTGACATCAACAGAAGCTAAATTTATCACATAAATAAACGCAATCCTTCAGTAAAGGAGCCATTCTTGAGGAGGATAGAAGTGAACCGAATAAGGCAAAGCAAGACGACGATCCTTGAAACTGAATAAAGGCTGCAAATAACCACTATTAAGAATAGTTTGCATCAATTCGTTGGAATTTCCATCTGCTTTGGTCCAATTAAACATGACTAAATTTCAAATGAACACGAAACCAACTGATACGAGGCCACCCTTGAACACCAAACACATGAAGGTCAGTAGTGCTTTCGTCAGTGGATTGGAATTATACTGACCATCGTCTTAGTATTCGGTTTAGTTTGCTAAAGAATGCGCTCACCGATCATTATTTCCGCAACCTCGGTTTATATGAATTCTTTATCTGCTTGAACTTTCTCTCAACATTCCAATCTTCATTCTGCTCTTTTATATAAATGGGCGGCCAAAAGACAGCAACCGAAACTGAAACTGGTGCGCACTGACAGTCGATGAGAATTTTCAACTGTTAGATATTGGTAGTTGTGTATTATTACTCGATGGATCATCATCGGTAGATGCATCAACCTGGAAGTTCTTCTTTTATGATAAAATTTCTGCGGTTTGCCGTGTTCTTCCCAATTCAGCAACACCTAATTGTTCCTCTACTTATCATCTTTATTTGATTCCTCCTCAGGTATCCACTTGGAAGCAATCGTGTTTCGTATCGGCTGGCGATCGTAGCTTAGCCTTTTGGCATCCGACGAACGGACTTGGACAAATCAGCCCAGTGGTTCGCATGACGGAACATTGTAGCCCTTACATTTTGTCCTCAACAAACGGCCTGGATTCGGATCTAATTGGTTTACAATCAGGGGATTCGGGGAATCGAACCTCTCCAGGAATTTTGGCTATTAGTCAATTTACCAGCTATCGTGATAATCTGATTGTTTGTGGTCCGGCGTCGACCACCACAGACACGGGTTTGTCTTCTTCAAACCAAACCCCTGGAACCTCTGGATCAACGGCTGGGCATGATCTGTTCGGTGTATATCGACCAACGGTCGATGGTACACCGCGTTTCACTCCACTTGGTCGGGTCTCGTCCAGTGTGATTCGGGGTCGAATCACGGCTCTGGCGAGTCTCCCAGAAAGTGGTTTACTGTTGTTAGGCGATACACACGGTCACCTGAGTTTGATTTACTGATCTGAGCCGATTGATGTTAATTTCACATATGGCGCATTCCAATGTGTTTGAAATCCGGATATCTCGAGTAATCATGACGGATTCATTCAGGTCCATTTACCAGTGTCTGGTATAAATCAAATCTCCCTCGTTCATCTCATTCGCATCACTCGAATTCTCCGATCACTTTAATCTACCCCAACTTTGACCCCTTTATCTTTTCAAATGCTTTTTTTACTTTTTTCTCGGTTTTCCTATTTCCTATTTGCCTTATTTAATAATTTGTGTTTAATAGTTCACTCTCTCGGTCTCCCTCACCACGCTGGCATTTCATCTTTATGGATTGGCTAATATCGTTGAACGACGGTTCGATTGAACGGTGTTTTTTCCCCTGCCCTCCGACCTCGTACCTTTAACCTCACACCGATTCAGATGGATTTGTTTTACAACCGTGGTACTGTGCACCAATAAAAGCATACGATTATTTTGTTATTTTGTTTTCATTTATGCTCTTTTTCATACTGTAAGTAGTTGACTCATGTGTGTTGTATGCATGTATGCATGCTCGCTTACATGCACGTACCTAGTGTATTAAGTTTCTCCTTTTATCAGGTTCGTGCTGGGTCAGTATCCTTTTATTTTGTGTCCCGTTTAACCAAATTCTGATAGTTACAGTTAAACGGGAAATACAAGGTTACTCCCCTTGAGTTTTTCAGGTCATTCGACGAAGATGCAGGTAGATCATAAATTCTATTTCATGAGGTAAGCTCTATCCTGGTGGTGTTGGATACCCACTTCTATCCGCTAAATTTACACCAGGATAACAGGACTAGATTTATTTTGCACGATCACCGACGTACCTCCAATTTCGGGTTTGGCATCTCATTAGGTTTCATTTCGTCTGTTCGCCGAGCTTGGCAATTTGTTTGCAAACGTTTCATCACCAGCCGGGGTAACATCATCAGTGTTTGTCAGCACTGATGATTTGCTACCTGGTGTCGTCCAGAGAGACAGAGAGAGAAATGTTCTTAAACAATCGGCTGCACATGGACTAAGTGATTGTTTACTGATCAAATCATCTTGCGTCATTTGTTCGAGTTTCGTCATACTGCATCGATCACTGTGTCAAATTTTAAATAGCGTTTGCCCCAGTTCATCTCAAGGTCTTTTTCAACTTCCTTCTTTGTCTCAGGTTCATGCTAGCCTTTTAAAGTCCAATGCACTTAGTCGAGCAAAGCAGGTTATTCGGAATCAGCAGGGATAACTATCAATCAGACTGAGCGTCGCAGTTTCTTTCCATTTTCTTTCTGAGAAAGCCCGAACTGATCTGCGAAATGCTGCTATTGGGTGGGTAGTTAGTTATGGTCCTCAGTACACTATAGGCATCGTTCCCTCACGAGGAGGTGCACTTTGACGTGGTGTGATAGCTTGCGTGCCTCCGGGACCCTACGAGCTACACAGGATGGCTATCCACACCCATAGGTCCAATCATGCCTGAGGTCAATGGGTAGACGCCACCGGAAGATCACTCTCACGAGGCAAACTGCTTGGGCACTTCCTGGATTCCTTCTATCCACACCCGCCTTTCGAGAGGTCAATCTGGCAAATAAACACTGAGGGGCAGTTTACCAGTCAAAAATCTCCCGCTGGATGGACGTGGGAGCGGGGTACCTGGGGCTTCCTCGCGACGGTGGGAGAAGTCTTCATACTTCATTAAACAGCTGCCACCCACCCAAGCTGGGCAACCCCAGCGAAAAGGCGCTGTCCACTCCACGTTCCGCCTATCTCATATAGTGTCTGAGGCTAATTGCCGATCCCGAAAAGCGGACCGACAATCAACGCAGCAGCGAACACAATTAATCGAAATTCAAAGGTTTTGCGTAACAGGTGTCCGGAAGCTCCCACATGGGTGCTCCGTTCACGCCCCAGCGCTGGATTTGCGCCCCACTGTCTTGTGGGTGAGACTTTCGAGTCAAGGGTTCCCAAAGAAAACTCCCCTCGTCGTTGTAAACTTCCGCGAAGTATGCCCTTCCCAAAACTTTTAGTTACTCATTTTGAAATGCATGTTCCCATCTGTCTAGTCCTCGATCCCAAATAATCCCAAATGCTTCCAGCTTAAGAGATCTTTCAGAAATCATTCAGCGTTCAACTAATGAAGCCAACCACTCAGAGGCTGTCGGATGTACGAAACCAAAATCTCCTTTCCACTTAGCTCCACTGAATGTCCACACACTCCACCAGATCGGTCTACAAGCTGCCTTAGCTGGAACCCTTGAAACCTTCCATTTAGATGTATGCCGTGTCTCCGAAACACGCACACAAGACTGTACTTCAATCGTCTCCTTGCGTTCTCCAGATCCAACCTCTGCCTCGCTTCACTCTCCGTGTGTCAGGTGATGTGACTGCCGAGTCAACAGCTACAGAACGAGGCGTCGATGCATATTCGGCGTATCCGCTCATGCAGTATGCCAGAAGTCATGTTATAGCAAAATACAATGCGGCCACATACACTGATCACTGCCGAACCCGCAATACATACCGTTTCGAGCATTCTGACGTGATAAGAAACGACAACAAGAACGCCACTGCTGTCCGTTCGCTACCATATCCTTCAATGTCTCCAACCAACCGGTTGTGGAGTCTTTCGGAATCGAACCTGGAAGGCGCGTGACACCTACTCGACCCAATGTCTGTGTGCATTTCTTCATGCCTCATCTCCAAGTCATCGGTTGACATCCACGTGGTTTCCTCCAGCGCGGATTAGCTACAGTGAAAAAAGTAAGGTGCGGCAGACGACAGCTGGGCATACGCAATACATGTCCTAGCCAGCGAAGTCTACTAATCTGAATTCGGTGTGCAAGCAGGCGTATTCCTACCTGAAAGATTCCTAAACACACGACAGCTTACCTCCACGTGACTAACCCATTCGCTCCATCCAACGTAGGCTAAACTTTGGTAATCGAAAACCTCCAGTCGATGGATATCTTCTACTCGCAACTTCAGGGTCTCACAACCATAAAGCAGAACGGAATGAATGCTAGCACAATATACACGACTTTTCAACTTCAGTGAAATATCGCGTCTATGCCAAATGTGTTTCAGTCCTGCACATGCTGCTCGAGCCTTGGAAATGCGGGCAGTTATCTCCTTTGCTGCGCTACCGTCATTGGTCATGCAACCACCTAGGTAGGAAAAGTAATCCATCGTAACTAATTCCCGGTCATATAGTTTCAGAGTGGGAGTAGAAGAAGCTCAGTCCTGCAGCATCACTTTGTACTTTGAGGGTTCAAAGCACATACCGAATGTGGAAACAGCACTTGTTAGTCTATCAAGTATGCTTCGCGCTACCTCCGTGCATTCGAACAGAAAGACTATGTCAATGGCGTACTCTGAATCGCACAGCTTTTCTCCACCTGTCCATTCAATACCTACGTTTTGGAGTCCACTTAGTGCGTTCTCCAGTATGCAACGGGAACGGCGAGAAGGTACTCTTCACGAACGCCGCCGCTCGTGACGAACGGCCCACTTAGATTGTTTAAAACCTTTGCACGACCGGAGGTCTTTCAGTAGGTAACGTACTTCTGGAGCATCCGCTTTCCAAAAAGCGAGTCCATGAGAGCTTCGCGGTCAACTGAGTCGGAGGCTCCTTTCAGGTCAAAGCACACTGCGATCGTTGGTTGATGGTGGGTGGTGGTGACGCAGCTCAAGGATCTGACGCAACGTAGAAATTTGATCCGTCCACGACCAGGCCGGAATCCGGCTTGCTGTTCGCCGATCTCTCTCAAAGAAGTCAGATGTCGGAATATGGCCGAGGCCAACGCTTTGGTGACGATCGGGATCAAACTGATCCCCATGGTGATTTTTGCAATCGTTGCGAAATCCTTGCTTGAAAATGGGAACGATCAGTGATTCACCTCAAGATGAAGGAATGTAATTTAGCTTCCAAATTTGCGCAGTGTGGTATTGATGGAGCTTGAGAGGTTATTACCTCTATCTGGATGAGAGTGGGAGGGAGCTCATCAGGTTCTGCTGCCTATCCTCGCTTAAGAGCATGAATGCAAGACCGAACTTCTGCTTCCGTTGGAGGATCACATGACACTGCCCACAGAGCTTCAGTTGATGGAGCATCCTGGTTAGCACTAGGGTAACTGAACTGTTCGCTGATTCATTCTGTCCAGCGATCGATTCGTTGATCCCCATTGTGGATAGCTGGTCCCCTCTTATCGCAGGCTGTGTCACTAACTGCAGTTCGCCAATCTCCCATATTGCGTATCAGTCGGAACAGTGTTTGACTAGTCCCTGATGCAGCGGCTACTTCCATTTCAATGTGTTGTTGCCCACCAGTTCTAACGGTCCTTCTGCACGCATTTCATAAGCGGACGTTGTAGATGCCACCTAACTCTATTCTGATCCTGACAGGTCGGGATTTGTCGTTCTTGCTCCATCAAATCTCCTGAGATATACAATTTCTCCGACGGGTTTGGGGTCTACACCCGCAAGCGAAATGCGTTGCTCGCCTAGTTTGATACCCCTGCTGATCTACATCACCACATTGAGGCGCGCTTAGCTCATGCATTAGCTCTGATTCATAGCGCACACGGACTCCCGGAACAGATACTCGACGATAAGGTGCGCGAGTTTGTTCAATTCATCGCCGGTCAGGCTGTCGGAGAGTGAACTGCATGAAAACTAATGCGTGGTCAAACCCAATGCAGTTGGTCCAATAGAACCTGCAATTATCCACGGAGCCACGTCAACGGTAACTTACTGCTATGCGATCGATTTGAGTTAGCGTACCAGTTGAACTGGAATGCCACGTTGCCGTCCGTTGAGAGCTGTGTCGGAAGTTGTTGCTAGATAGGAACAGATGATGGTCTGCGCAGAACTGAAGAAGTCGAGCACCGTTATCTATTCGTTGGCTGGACAGAGCACAACTACTGCCTAGGCAAGTTTCTGATGCGTCCAGTTTTCCAATCTAAGTCACCTGAAAGTACAACTATGTCGTAGCTTCGACTCCTCCG